GTGGTTTTTCAATTTATGTATTTCAAACATATTTGATCGGTGGTTACATTGTATGTTAAAGTGCTTTCTTGATAATCACGGGAACAATTCGCGTACAATACATATATTCGTATTGATGATTGTTTGTATTGGTCTAAATGACTTTTCTATGTGACTAATAAAATAATGTTTTTAAAATATTTATATTTGTAGTTTAGTACCCATAAAACAGTAGTTTGTAGTAGATTGTAGTTTCTGCTTAGTTCAGGAGAGTTAGATGTTATTGTTTGAATTGTCTTGACTCTTACACATTATTTTTCCTATTTATGAGTAAAGGCAAATAGGCAAAAGGAAGAAAATATATACGATTTCGGTTCTATTTTTAAAACGGTTATGATAATGAAGAGTAGCAGTTTTGCCACTTAAAATTCTCGTTAGAGACTGCCCGGTCGCCAAGCGTTGTGACGTTCAGGAGATTCACCGCGCAAAAAAGTAGATAAAACTTTACTGTTTTGTCGCATTTTTAATTTTGCATTCGTTACTTCAAAAAGACGATATAAATACTGTGTTATCTGCTAGTCATTCTACAAATTAATATTTATATAAAACAATTACTAAATAATAAATTTATGAATTATTTTATAATTATAGTCATATATAATTTTTAGGTCACCATTTTCATACACACCATCAGGACTGTTATCCCAGATAAGGATTTAGTCAGAGTATTTTTTTTAATGGATGATAATGGAATGGTACTCCTACCTATGCTGCCGGTATTCGCTGGTGATTGTAACAAATTCACCAGGAATTTATCATGATCATTTCCAGGAGAAACCGCATACAGGTTAATTTGAAATTACTAGTAATGAGGTCTACAGTCCACTTCCCTTCAGAGGCATTGTCAACTGTAGATGTTGTGGTGAATGTACAACATTTAACATCCATACTTAACATACATACATACTTACATGCACATATTTATGTGTTTGAAACCAACGTAGCGTAACGTTGTTTTCGATGTGATATCAGTGTTTACATCTCAGTTAGAGATACATATAAATTGACACAAACATCTGAACTCACGATCTCTTGAATGTAATTCAGGGTAGTAAACCTAACTAACTAGGACACAACGGTCACTTACTTATTACCATTTTCATATTTTCCCATAATCGAGTTTGTACCTATCCCTAACAACTTTTTGTCATAATCGAGTGTCCCTAACAACTTTATCAATAAAACTGGAAGTTCACTAAGGGTATTCATTGTGTCATGACGATTGTGGAACTGTAAAATATTTCGACACAGATGTTGAATAGTTATTAGTTACGGAAATGGTTGGGGGCTGTCATTTAAAATTTAATTACGGAGATGCTGAACCGATTTGATAATATAAGTAGCAAAACTGGGTACACTGTGAACTATATTCCGATTTATAAGTAATATAATCTTTCATTTATAGTATTTATATACCTTTATTTATCACATGTATACCAAATACAATGTATAAATTACAGAGATTTTACTTTGATACCAATAGAATTTCCTCTAGGTTATAAGTATGTCGGTAGTTCTTTAATTTCATAAGGTTTACGTGTAAAGTTGGTTTATCTCTATGGAGTATGTTTAGGTAATATTAAATTAAATATAGTTAAATACACAGTCATATATTTCTAGATAAATGTAATGACCTTTTCTGTGCCCTGAAAGGGGTACCACTTTCAGGGTATGGCTACGGTTTCGCGCAGTTTTTCGCAGATTTCGTGTATTCTTGAAGAAAATAAAACCAACTTTCTTTTGTATGGATTTTTTACCTACCTTTTATTAATAGAAACTAGAAATAATATTTATTCAAATAAACTCAATACAAGTATTTTTGAATAGTCATCGCACAATAGAATAGCACATTTATCACAAGATGAGCAAGAAACTTATGTATTGCTCTTTTGAATAGATGTTTTTTTATATAAATAATTACACAATAACAAGTAAGAGGCATGCGATAATCAACATAGAATCCGCTACGCACTCATTTTTAGTGCAATCAGATAATATTGTCAGCGTTATGGACTTTCAGTTTTTCTGTTTAATTAAAACATTATTATCATTAACGGACTCTTCAATTTTATAGTAAGCTTTTTTTTACAAAGGATGTATTTTATATGACATTTAAATATTATTTCAGGTAGATTTATAATTTATTATTTAATTAATTTTTAGTGAGCCTTGGCTTTCATCCCGTCATCTTGACGTATGTCAATATTTTATTTAACACTTTTTTATTTTTAGTAACATTTTTGTACCTATACAAGCTGCATCCGAATAATTATAAATACAACAAAAGAATTAGCCAATTAGGTAATATTTTAAGTTTTACATCATTTAGATAAAAAATGAAGTGGGTACGCAATACTGAGTGTCTATATATAAAACTTTTCCAGTTCCCTTACAAAAACTGTCATTAGCAATGTCCATTACATAAAAGGCAACATAATTGTTTACACAACCTGAACAAGATAATAACTAAGTGAGAGGATTAGCTACAGACATGGCAACATTCGGTGTAAGGACTGGTAATGTTTGGACATCGCTCGGAGCGCTTACCTTCAATTAGGGAGAAGGTGCCCAAAATTGTGTCGTTAAGGGGAAAATGTTTATTCTCCATCCGTCGTTTGGAGAATTATCTGCTTTTGCCTTAATTTAATTTGACATGGTATTTTGAGAGTGAACACTGGTTATTTTTTTTAAATAATAAAATTATTGCTGGATAATTTGGGAATATTGGACCGACCTTTTTGTTGAAGCCCGAAATTTTTATGTTTATATAAAAAATGGACTACAAATGAGTTATTGGAAAGCCTCACATGATTAAGACAATTACGATTTCTAAGCGGGTTTTCTTATAGTATTATAGGTACCATAACATTTTGTATATGTAGTGTTGCGTTCGTGAGTTGTATTTTCGCAACAAAAATTCTCAAGAAAATTCTTTAAACAAATGGTCCTACCTACTCTAAAGATCATGAATGATCACTGAATATGTTATGTTACCAGGAAATTAATAAAAATAAATAACTCTAGACAATTTACACAGCGACATCTAGTCCCACGGTAAGCAGAGTTTGTGTTATGTAATAGAGATACTAGATAACTGATATAAATACTTAGATTTTTTTTGTAAATACATACCTATAATGTACATAGGACAGTCAGGCCAAACAAACAATCCTACACGCAGCACCTAACACGATGTAAACATTTAATTCAAGAATACAGAATTAAATATTTACATCGTGCTGGGAATCGAATCCGCGACCATAGGAAGTAAAGCGGTATGCTATACCGCTAGTTCACCGAGGCCATCAAATATATTTGCAATAATTATTATTAATAAATCAAATCCTTTTAAAATCGATAGGTATTATAATAATTAAAATTCAAAACAGAATGATGGACACACAACTGTTAAAAACACGAGTTTCGGTTTAGTACAAATACAACATAAATAGCTCGCGATATTGATGGTATGGGTTGAACAACAAAGAAAACTCGTACAACGATGGACCGACTGATTCTGTTTGAAAGCAAGATCCATCCAATCCCACGGATGATCTAAGATTATAAATCAAATAGTAGAAAGTGAGTCATCTGAAAATGTAGCTGAGGTTGTAACTTGCTGGTTTTAATGTAACTAATATTATCAAGTTGAAGAGTTTATTTGTTTGTCTGAATGAGCTAATCTCAGAAACAGATTGGAATTGAAAGATACTTTTAGTGTTGGATAGTACATTCATCGTGGAAACCTATAAGCTATATAAATTAATAGGTCGATGCCGAAAGATAGCTAACTATTAAGTTAACTATGTATATATACCTATATATAAGTAATTTAATTTCAATATGTACTCAATTGACATGTAAAACATATACAAATCTTTACAGCGCGAAAACAAATATGTTTCGAGCAACGGAAGTGCAAATAAAATATTGAAAAAATGGGGAAAATTTGACTCAGACGAAGTTACACGGGTGAAATAGTTTAGTGATAAAGAAATTTCATTTGTGCCTAGTCTGATATTGTTTATCCTATGATAATCGTAATAGACATAAGATTTATCATCATCTATGTCATAACCGTCAAATTAAAAAAAAAGCTTTGTGTTGATGTTCCACCAGCAAATAATACAATATTGTTTGATTAATTAATTTGCATACCAAGTTGATGCTTAAACAACCTAACCATTACACGAACCCCTTCTTCTTTTATAAAACGTTATCTTTTATTTCCATTTTAATGCTTTGCTTTTTGGTAACAAGACCCGATTTATTTAAGTGGGGAGACAACACATTGCTCGCTGGGCATAATAAGATCCCCTGATGATTTTAGAAAGGGTGGCATTCATGGGAAATATAAATATCATCGCTATAAACGGCAAAGTAACGATTGTACTTAAATGAAGAAAAATGGTCAGATCCTGCTTTTCCCTATTTTGGTTTAATTTTTAATTTTGTTCAAATAGCAATATTTAAAATATTATATAGTATCTATTCTTATTATTATCTAATGGCTCCTTTATAAAAGTAACTTATTACATATTGTCTACCTATGTCGGTACAGTATTACTCAATAATAGGATAGGATAGGAGAATTACTGTAGTGCTATTAATACGATTTTACAATCACTATTTAACAGGGAAGAAAATTAGGAGTAAACTCTCACAATTACAACAAAATGAATTGATAAAATTGTTTCCGAATTGAGATTATTCTTGAAAGTCTATTTCAATTAAAAAGCATCTATTCAGTCTAATAATTAGGTACATAATTAATCAATCATTCGCAGTAATTCTCAAGTATTTCTTACTGGAGAAATGTTGTCGGCTCCTTTATACTATAGAGTGACATTCCATAGAATAGCGACTGCGAGAAAACCGCTCTAAAAATAATCATGATGTTTACACTCCAGTGTATGACGTGCTTGTATGTCCCATTTCCGAGCATAGTGTCAGCACAAGAGGCACGACCAGTAAACGTCAGTTACGTTGCGTTCAGTCACAGCAGGCGAGAATAACATTTAAATTTCGTTCTATATTTGAACGGAAAACGCGGGAAAGTTCCATGTGTCAATGTCAAAATAGTTGCGTTAATGTACTACCGGGAAAATAAAATGGAATTTAAGTTTGCTGTTGTCTTTATAATATTGTTGTCAACAAAAGGTAAGTTAAGTTTTTTTTACTTTTAAATCATATTAATTATACTTAAAATGGAATCAATGGTATTTAATTAATTAGTTAGCAAATTAGTTCATGATCATGTCGCTGTATTAGACGTTTAATTACTCATATTTAAGAACTAAAAAATAATGTTGGATTTTTAATAACTAAAAAAAAATCAAAACAAACAACCGACAAATATGTATTACTTTTATCGGCATTGTTAGTTGGTTTTGTTTATCACGGGACTAAATCTTGAAAAATAATGGTTGAAATTCGGATAATTTCTAATAAGATATCACATTATTTTATGGTAAATAGAAAATAAATAAAGATAAAATACCATTAAAAATAATGTTTTTTATAGGATTGATGACTTATTGCTAACAAAGTACTATTCAGGTGGACCTCCACGCGGATCCCCCTGGAACAGGTTCCAGGTTCCCACAGGTTGCATAATAAATACTAGTGAATTTATCATGATGGGCTAACTGACCTGACCTCGTGTTCATATTGTCATCCTCCACTGGTGCCCCGCCAGCGTATACCGATAGTGCAGGCGGGTGCACGATTCCATTAATATCCGATTAAAAAATATATAGTAACTATACAGACATATTGTACCAATTATGAAAATCATTACAATTACTCTAAAATAATATACACTAGCGATGTGAAGTAGTGTATTATATTACACACTTAAATCTTTATCAGTAATTACTCTGTTGATATATGTATGGTATATATATATAATACAAATACGTAAATAACTAGTACATACAGTACCTACTCATTTTATTTTACTCTTCATTTTTTTGGGATATTTGTACACAAAATGTAACAATGATAATCCCACTGTAACTGTACAAAAAACATAAAGAACAACTTAAGTTCATAACCAGCCAGAAAAATAACTTACCTGCATCAGGAAAAGCCAACTAGGTGGAAATAACCAACTCATGAAATAAAATATTTATTTTTTAATGAATTATAATGGAATGGTGCACCAGCTTGTGCTAACGGTATATGCTAGCGGGGAACCAATAGAGGATGATAAGATGTACATGAGGTCAGGTCAGTTAGGCAATCGACACAAATTCACTAAGATTTATAATGATGGTTTCCAGGGGTAACCGCGTGGAGATCACCCTAAAAAGGTTTATTGCAAGCAATGGGGTTACTAGTCCTCATTAGTAACGATCCCTCCCTACCTTTCCCTCCATGAAAAATATTATATGGTAACTTTTGATTTATTCCGTTCATATTACACTCATTTTTATCCTTAGTATGTTGTAAATGGTGATTGAAATAAATGATAACATAATACTAAAAAAAAAAATACTCGAAATACACTAAATAATCCTATAGCAGTTTATGAAAGTTAGTACTAATAACCTAATCTCATGGGATTGACCTGAGATCAACAGTGGGATATTAAAGAGTTGTTATACATAAAAGAATTGACTGACCAAGGTCATATACTTATCAGGACTGTGTCGATAACCATTACTATATTTCCATAACTTCTTATAGTACAATTTCATGGGTAGAAGTTGATATGTTTAATTTATTTCTGCCACCAATTGCGTCTAAACTATTTCGATATAAGGGTGGCAATACCTCATGTGTTATGGTTGGTATATACAGCGCCTTAAATAGGAGTCTACCTCAGTCACTTTTCAATAGATGTTCGTCATACATACAAAAAACAAGCCCGCATGTAGGTACACCACATACATTTATTAAAAAGCATAACAGATCATGAAACGCGTGCATCAAACGACAATTTGATGCGCTCGGTCACCGACTAGTTAAGCTCGTTAAATGAAACAATTCCTAAAATTATACCCGCCATATTGGTGTCATGGTGCCGCTAAATAGGCCATTCGTTAAATAATATTCGGGATATGTATGATACGTTTCGTTCATAAACCATTAGTGGGAATATAATCGGGGATCGTAGTCTGTTAATTTTTGTATTATCCAAATTGCTTGTTATTTTATTCAATAAAACAAATTATTGGCAGTTCGTTTAATCTTGTGTTTTTTACCCTATCTTTTCTAATAACTTGATACAAAGTTACTAAAAGCAAAAATCAATACAATATTATGTATATTATGTATAATAATTTTATTTACTTTATATTTATATCATATGTATGTATATATAAATAACAATACAAGATATATTTCTCTCTTGTATACGTATATCAGTAAAGTCACTTTCTGATGATACTCTAAGGTAAGGGAGAGAATGGCATTCACCTCGCATATTAAAGAATAAATAAATAGATATACATACAATTTTGTTGTTAGCATACAGCATATACAAATTTGTAACTCATAAATGTTTAAAGTATAGTTATTGAGTACTTTTACTAGTATTATAAAGGGAAAGCTGATTTTGTTACAACCAAAACTCTAGAATCCAGGAATGGTTTTTTTTTTTTCTGGCTTCTGGAGCCGGGCGAAACTGAATGTGACTATATATTTGTATCTTTTTTATATAACATTATGTATCGTTCCTCATTTATTCTTTGTTAAATAATATTCTTTACTTAAGCATACAACATAAAACCTAGTTTCATAACTATCTTTCATATTTAGATTTCCATACATAGAGACATACTAGGTGACACGCAACTTCGTGTCTGACCCAAATTGTCTAACTTTTTTTAAACTTATTTGATTCTAAATTAGTCTTTCTTAATAAATACCTATATCCAACACTAAAATATTTTTTAAACTGGATTAATAATACTGGAAATCACTCGGGAGATAATATCCGAACTCTAACTAAACTAAAATAAACTTTGCCTATTTACAATATTACTATCTATTATTAAAAATGAAAGTCGTGTATTACATTATTACTCTTCTAATCCTGTTTCTAAAAATTTGTGCGTTAGAAAATTCCTGAAAAATAATATAATATTTCGTTTATAACTACGATACCATGTTCGTATATTTATACAATATTATTTGGATAGATTAACATTTATTATTGATGTAGGAGGTATATTACGATTACAACTCGTTGTAACCCACTGCTTTGCTGTGTAAATTGAGATACGTATTCTATTAGTCTGTTTATAATAAGTATTCTTTTATAAATTCATTGATCTACGAAATTTATAACAAATGTAATGACTACCATCTATAAAGAATCACTTAATATATGTAGATCTTATACCAGTATTTATCACTCAAGCTTTTGGTATAGACCTTATTCTACAACTTGGGATTTCTTGATATGGATTTTACCCACGAGAAATAACGGTGTACAGGGGGCATAATATTTTAGTCATCACCCACACCACGAAAATATTTTGCCGCGTAAATTTATTCTACGTCAAATAAAATTTATCGCACGATCTACAAAAATTGTAAGAGCTCAATAAGGCCTATTTTATCTATAATATATGTACCATGTGTCTTCTAGTCATTATCATTTGGGCGTTAGTAAGGGCATTTTTATCGCATGGGATTTCATTCACGAGAATTTACGGGACACATAGAATAGATACAGAGGAATCACATTTTAGTTCTAAAGGCATGAGGGGTACAATAAGTGTTCCTAGGTATACAGGCGATGCTAACTTACCACTTACCGTCAGGAGGACTATACATATGTGTATTTACCATTTTAGTTACCTAAGACAAACGTTTGGAGAAATGAGAAAAAACACAGTATTACTTCTATGAAAAAAACTATCCTTCATACCGCATCAAGATGTCATATATACAAATAGATTTCATAATAAGTCTCAAGAAGTACAAGCAACATCTGCACTAATTTGTTTGATGTTAGGCTGTAATTGTTGAACACTTAATGAAAACAATGACATGTTATTTTTAAAGAAAGCACGTTAAAAATAACAAACCGTGTATCGTATCCTGCAGTCTAATATTTCTATCACTTACTATATACCTATATAATATTCATAAGTATGCTATGAATCAAATAGCAATATATTTCCACAACTGGGACATAGGAACTATATCAGAATATAATAATTTTGATATAGTTCCTGACTATCACAATTTGAAAAAGACGTCATTTCATATTAATAACTTAATTAGAGTAAAAGCTTTCCTACTTGTGTGTATTGAAGTGTGTTGTGCTTAATTTACTAAAGCCGTACAGCAAATTGCTTATTATACTCCACTAATCTATCTGATTACTAACAAACCGAAACTTAATATCATTAATCAATCATTAATATCATTAAAATCATTATGTACTGGTATAGCTTCAATCTATTAATTAATATAATTTAAGTTTCATAGTATAAATGGCAGTACCTGTGACTTTGCTTTGATTTATTAGAATCTACTACAAAGTGATATCTATATGTAGATGAAAATTTATGTATAGATTCTCAAAAAAGAAAAATCTATAAATAATTGAATAGAAAAATTATTTATATTAATATTAGTTAATATAAATATAATATAATATATAATCCCGAAATGTTAAAATTTGTCACAAAAAAGGGTATTATTGATATCTTAGTTAATTTATCGTTTTATATTATACTAGCGAGCTAGTATTATGCTCAGGCTTTACACGTGTGTACATATATTATACATATAGTGTTCGCTTATTTGTTATTTATGTCTTCTTGTATGTAAGTTGTTATCGACGTAATATCGGCTCGTTAGCCATAGCTCCATGTCTTTGCGCAGGGAATCCCTTCCCTCTTGCGCACGGCACGGCGGCGGTCCGTGTACCCTCAGCTCGAGACGATAGATAATAAACTACTAGTGTTTCCACATACACTACAATACATATTAAACCTTCCTCTTGAATCACTCTATCTATTAGTAAAAATTGCATCAAACTACACAACGGTGTAGTTTAAAACATCTAAGCGAACAGACAGCGGAAGCAAAATCATTTTATACTATGTAAAGATTTAATGCTTACAGTGTTTTGTATTTATCCAAATTTAGTAGTATTATTACTAGCCATGAGGATTCGTGTATAATTCGATTTCTAG